GAATAATATCAGTATAATCGCTCGCATTCCTACCCGCGAATTGAATTCGTTCGACGCGGAATCTCGCGAATATACCACGTTCTACACCTCAGCCTCAGCTTTAGCGTTCGCCTTAGTTTTCGCTTTAGCCTTAGCTTTAGCTTTCACCTTAGCCTTAGCTTCAGCTTCCACCTTAGCTTTCACCTTAGCATCGGCTCTAATTCAAGGTTTCGCTATCTCTCGAATGTAATCACGACGCGACCCGGTAAATTGTCTCGTCATAAAGTAAATAAAAAATTGGAAATTCTCAAAACGACTGGTGTTGCAAAGTATGTACGCACATAGTTCTGATACGTATATTAAGCGAGCGATCTGAGTGTGCCATTTTCCTAATCCCCTATCCGTCCGCGTACGCCTGGCACACTTAATTCACGTTCACGATTAGTATATCGGATGAAATACGTTTCGGTGTTGGTACCCCCCGGCCCTAACCCCACCCACATATGTACTATCTTTCCCCATAAGCTATCCTGCGGTGCCTTTCAAACACGAATTTTCGCGAAACAAAAAAAAAATTAAGAACGACGAGGCACACAAAAATGTTCACGTTCGCGAGCATGCAACGCGATGAACATTGCTCGTACATATTTCACTCGCCAGTCACGAAGAGATCTTGTACACTAGTGAGACTAAGTATTAAGTGACAAGACAATACTTGTTTGAAAATGATAACATAATGGTACAAATGCATCGGAACCATTAGGTCGCAGCTCCCGACCCGTCAACACGCTCGGTAAGCGTGGAATATCATTGTAGTCGATCGCATTCCTACCCGCGAATTCAATTCGTTACTCGCCGAATTTCGCAAATAAACCGCCTGAGCCTTATTAGTTTCCCGTGGCGACGCGTTGGCTCCCTAATTCCCGTCATCACGCTCGGTAAGCGTGGAATATCATTGTAGTCGAACGCATTCCTACCCGCGAATTCAATTCGTTACTCGCCGAATTTCGCAAATAAACCGCGTGAGCCTTATCAGTTTCTCGTGGCGACGCGTTGGCTCCCTAATCCCCGTCATCACGCTCGGTAAGCGTGGAATATCATTGTAGTCGAACGCATTCCTACCCGCGAATTCAATTCGTTACTCGCCGAATTTCGCAAATAAACCGCCTGAGCCTTATTAGTTTCCCGTGGCGACGCGTTGGCTCCCTAATTCCCGTCATCACGCTCGGTAAGCGTGGAATATCATTGTAGTCGATCGCATTCCTACCCGCGAATTCAATTCGTTACTCGCCGAATTTCGCAAATAAACCGCCTTGAGCCTTATTAGTTTCCCGTGGCGACGCGTTGGCTCCCTAATTCCCGTCATCACGCTCGGTAAGCGTGGAATATCATTGTAGTCGATCGCATTCCTACCCGCGAATTCAATTCGTTACTCGCCGAATTTCGCAAATAAACCGCCTTGAGCCTTATTAGTTTCCCGTGGCGACGCGTTGGCTCCCTAATTCCCGTCATCACGCTCGGTAAGCGTGGAATATCATTGTAGTCGATCGCATTCCTACCCGCGAATTCAATTCGTTACTCGCCGAATTTCGCAAATAAACCGCCTGAGCCTTATTAGTTTCCCGTGGCGACGCGTTGGCTCCCTAATTCCCGTCATCACGCTCGGTAAGCGTGGAATATCATTGTAGTCGAACGCATTCCTACCCGCGAATTCAATTCGTTACTCGCCGAATTTCGCAAATAAACCGCGTGAGCCTTATCAGTTTCTCGTGGCGACGCGTTGGCTCCCTAATCCCCGTCATCACGCTCGGTAAGCGTGGAATATCATTGTAGTCGAACGCATTCCTACCCGCGAATTCAATTCGTTACTCGCCGAATTTCGCAAATAAACCGCCTGAGCCTTATTAGTTTCCCGTGGCGACGCGTTGGCTCCCTAATTCCCGTCATCACGCTCGGTAAGCGTGGAATATCATTGTAGTCGATCGCATTCCTACCCGCGAATTCAATTCGTTACTCGCCGAATTTCGCAAATAAACCGCCTTGAGCCTTATTAGTTTCCCGTGGCGACGCGTTGGCTCCCTAATTCCCGTCATCACGCTCGGTAAGCGTGGAATATCATTGTAGTCGAACGCATTCCTACCCGCGAATTCAATTCGTTACTCGCCGAATTTCGCAAATAAACCGCCTGAGCCTTATTAGTTTCCCGTGGCGACACGTTGGCTCCCTAATTCCCGTCATCACGCTCGGTAAGCGTGGAATATCATTGTAGTCGAACGCATTCCTACCCGCGAATTCAATTCGTTACTCGCCGAATTTCGCAAATAAACCGCGAGAGCCTTATCAGTTTCTCGTGGCGACGCGTTGGCTCCCTAATCCCCGTCATCACGCTCGGTAAGCGTGGAATATCATTGTAGTCGAACGCATTCCTACCCGCGAATTCAATTCGTTACTCGCCGAATTTCGCAAATAAACCGCCTGAGCCTTATTAGTTTCTCGTGGCGACGCGTTGGCTCCCTAATTCCCGTCATCACGCTCGGTAAGCGTGGAATATCATTGTAGTCGAACGCATTCCTACCCGCGAATTCAATTCGTTACTCGCCGAATTTCGCAAATAAACCGCCTGAGCCTTATTAGTTTCTCGTGGCGACGCGTTGGCTCCCTAATTCCCGTCATCACGCTCGGTAAGCGTGGAATATCATTGTAGTCGAACGCATTCCTACCCGCGAATTCAATTCGTTACTCGCCGAATTTCGCAAATAAACCGCCTGAGCGTTATTAGTTTCTCGTGGCGACGCGTTGGCTCCCTAATTCCCGTCATCACGCTCGGTAAGCGTGGAATATCATTGTAATCGAACGCATTCCTACCCGCGAATTCAATTCGTTACTCGCCGAATTTCGCAAATAAACCGCGTGAGCCTTATCAGTTTCTCGTGGCGACGCGTTGGCTCCCTAATCCCCGTCATCACGCTCGGTAAGCGTGGAATGTCATTGTAATCGAACGCATTCCTACCCGCGAATTCAATTCGTTACTCACCGAATTTCGCGAATAAACCGTGTGAGCCTTATCAGTTTCTCGTGAAGACGCGTTGGCTCCCTAATCTCCGTCATCACGCTCGGTAAGCGTGGAATATCATTGTAGTCGATCGCATTCCTACCCGCGATTTCAATTCGTTCGCACCGCTACTGGAAATTTTCGTAAAACAGCTCGAATGCCTTGATTAAAAATTAAAAATATGAAATTGAAATTTATTAACGGTGGCACAGACGCTCCCTTTTAGTCGCCTTTTACGACAAGCAGGGATACTATGGGCGTATTCTACATCCCCCCGCCCACAGGGGGTGATTTGAGATGATAAAAAATACAACACAATTGATACAATACAAATGTACAGTGCAATATCAATAAAATATGATAAATTGAGTTTTACTTGTTTTTAGATAATATCATTTTATTTTTATTGATGAACAAGTAATTATCGGGGTTGTGTTATCGTAGAAAATCATTCGTCTATGTAGGTAAATCTTGTTTTGTCATTGTTAAAATTTACTTGAATGCAATAATTTAAAAATGTAAGTAAAATGGAAGCTAATAAAAAATTATAAAAAGGATAACGATAAAAATCAATTTAAAAAAAAAAAAAAAGAAGCGCGTGACTTTACTTGTTAATGTAGCAATCAATTTGATTTAAATGATTTAATTTAATTTGATTGAAAAACAACATATAATGTCAGTTCACAATGACGTAGTTATACTTGATGACGTCATTTGTAGAGAAAATGTAATACAATTTGCAATTTAACATGTTTGCTACTAGAATCACATATATCTATCAAAATATTTTGTATCATATGTTTTAAAATACCTGCAATTCAGAGTCTATCACAAAATCCATAAAATAATATAATATAATAATATGCATAGTCTATAGTAATATTTCTTTGTTTTATGTTATTTCATAATATAAGAAAAGAAATAGTCTATGATGGACGAATTTCTAATTAAGTGGTATTACTGAACATGTTAAATTGACAATAGATATCTAGTGAGCATAGTGACTATAAAAAGTAGTAAAAAAGATATTAATATGTACTTAAATCAGAATTGAAGGATGACTTTCCATAAAAAGAAGGAAAGACATCCTTTGGTGATGTGCGATGATGTCCCACGATGTCCCACGACGATCTTCTTTCTTCGACTACTCAATGAATCAGCTCAAAGATTCCATAAAAATGTGAAATATATTGAAAATGAGTGTCACACACAACGACCAACTATTAAATAGAATAGCTGTCCGAAGCATGCAACAAAAAAAAAAGGAATTTTTGAACAGATTTCATTGAAGTAGTCCTTTTTCGTCCGGGCCTAGAGCCGCGGGCGACCTTACATACTAGGTATAGACCAAAATTTAATCAAAATCAATTAACTAAAAAGTAATTGATTCCGATTATACTACCCCAGGTGCAGACTTTTCACCGGACCTATAAGCCTACCCGAAAGAGAAATGTGATCGGTCTGCTTTCCTGGCCCTTCCTACTTACATCTAAATCATACACACCAGAAGTAAGCTACCTGCCTGCCTATCCCTATATTTAAAAAAGCAAAAATCATTCATTCCAACACACACAATCCACGGTACTCACACATAACACCTGGGTGCAAGCCTACCCTAGAGAGAACGTCCCGGGACGCCTCCGTCACCCAAGCTTGTAACACACACATTTATACTTTATGTACGTACCATTTCCTGTAATCGACTGACAACGTAGCGTATATTGCGTTATTATTAATATAATATTAATGTATTGTGTCATATAAAACTCTTATTGAAATGTGAAATTATTTATGCTATAATGCTGACTTTGAGTCATTCTGTTCTTTATAAAACTAAGTACAGTAATAATTAGTATTTCATTGATTTAAAAAAAGAATATGGTATTCAAATGGTATATTTTCTTCATATATTGTAAAATATTATTATGACTTTTATACATGAAATATTCTCAAACAAGTATCCATTCAATGTAATTTGATTGTATGATATTATACATACAGTATGTCATATGGAAAATATTGATTAGATATGTAACATATTTATTCTGTATGTATTTATATAAACTATTTAAGTTGAATAATAAAATCGACGTACATTCCACTAATTTAAACACACACACACACATGTGAAACGTACATCGTGCACGATACGCTAATACGTTTGTCAATCGCTGCAATATTCCTTAATTCTAAAACCGTACCCACCGCCCTTACCCAACAACGCACACCTGGGTTCGTTGATGAGCTCAGGCTAATAAGTAATGAATACGGGCAAAGAAATAACACACCTACCGTGTGAAGCTGAAAATCCTAAGCTAAAATGATAGATTAATACATAGTAAAGCTAACGGGCTAATAAACATTTTAAATTTGAAAATAAATTATTCTGTAAAACATTCTTACGTTGGAACTACGTTTTCTTTGAACTGATGAGATTGAAATTGATTAGAAGAATAAAACATTAAAAAATGATTCTATTTGTAATACACGACTCCGATTATTAAAAATTAAAATAAAAAATTGCAATTGAATTAAATAATTATTAAAATAATTAAGTTGTATTTAATCATAGCGAAAAAAAAAATGTGTAAAAAAAAATCACTCTACTTTAAGAAAAAACTTGATGTATCTGTTAAATGGATCTGTATCTGTTGGAAATGCAATTTAATAATTAATATACATGTAATACATCCTCGGTTGATTGCATGTCGAAGTAAATTGTCCAAGTTACATCAAATGTACATTCGAAAATGTTACTTCGACGTTAGAATCTAACCGTCGCGAAATGTCTTCTTGCTCATAAAACATATTTAAATCAACAATATAATAATATACTGCATTGAAATATTATAGTATAATCAATCTATTGTAGCAAATGTACGTAATATTTACTGCATATAAAATATACAAATTTTGTATACATTATCAAAATTTAAGTATCTTTTAATTAAAAAAATATTTTAAAAGTTGTATTTTATTTGTGAAATCGGAGGGTCATCCGACTTCTATCCTACAAACTATTTTTTAAAAAGAGACAAGAAGACCCTAGCCTGAACTAAGAAATACAACAATATAAAAATGAAAAAAGATATGAAAAATATGTAATATATTTCCATGAGTATACATCCACTCATGGGTCACTATGCTCACTTAAAATAAGAATAAAATTTGTAACTCTTGGGGCTCACCGAACCGGTGACTGACTATTGAAAAGTAGCTGGAAGAAAGCACCCGGTGGATGGTCTCCTAAGTAGATTGATGATGTAGACTAGTGTAGTAGGTAGGATGTTGACATACAGGCACTAGTTGATAATTCGGTAATTAGAAGAACAATAATATTACATTTGTGCCATTTTAAATTTACCATAATAATTTACTGCAACTACTTAATAATAAAACTTACCTTTAATTGGACGAAGATTCATTTAATTGTTCCATTTCAGGCTTCTGATGTTTTATTCGAATGTACTTCTGCAACAAAAAAGAACACACAACAATAATATTACATTTAAGCCAATTTAAATTTACCGTAATAATTTACTGCAACTATTTAATAATAAAACTTACCTTTAATTTGAGGAAGATTCATTTAATAGTTTTATATGAGGCTTTTGATGTTTTATTATAATGTACTTCTGCAACAAAAAAGAACACACAACAATAATATTACATTTAAGCCAGTTTAAATGTACCGTAATAATTTACTGCAACTATTTAATAATAAAACTTACCTTTAATTTGAGCAAGATTCATTTAATAATTTTATATGAGGCTTTTGATCTTTTATTAGAATGTACTTCTGCAACAAAAAGGAACACACAACAATAATATTACACTTGAGCCATTTTAAATTTACCATAATAATTTACTGCAAATACTTAATAATAAAACTTACCTTTAATTTGAGGAAGATTCATTTAATAGTTTTATATCAGGCTTTTGATGTTTTATTAGAATGAACTTCTGCAACAAAAGAAAACACATTTTTTCACATATATGTATACAACAGTGGTACATCTTGTATATTTAACCACTTAATATTTCAAAAAATGTCCATATCCACAAAACATAAATTTTTGAATAAATATTTTTTAATTCTTTAACATTAATCAAATTTCCATGCCTATTATATTACTATACGTGTTATTCATTGTATAAAAGTTCATTTTGAATTGAGATCATCAAATACGGAAGCTTAAACACTGGTTAGAATAAGTGAGACATTTGAATTCCCCGCCAAAAAATATTGAAGATTATCGACGCCATATTGAAATAAAATCAAGATTACTTTTCTCAATTTAAAACACCAAAATACAAAAAATAAAGTAGAAAATAACATAAGATATCAATGGTACTTAAGAAATGATCGGTATAAAAGCAGAATATATGAGGGAAATAATATTTTAATGCACATTTATATCGGCAGAATAATCAACCACGGGAAGATCAATTATATCAATTTATAACAATTAATTATCGAAAAAATGTAACAAAAACATGAAAAAATGCAATAATGTTCAAGAAATTACTGATATAAAGGGAAAATAATTCAGATTCTGCTGTTCCAATTCCATTTTGAATTCACAGCAAGAGCAACAAATTTCAACTGACGCATTTTTAAAGAAAACCTCGAATTGATGTAAAAATTCAGGAATCTAGACTTCTCCCCAGCTATTCTTTCTATTTTTTGTACTTGCAACACCCGAAAGACAATTTAATTTAATGTTTGAAGATAATTTAATCTTACCTGTTGCAGACACGTGCATAACGGACGAAGTGTCGAAGAGAAATGATGCACTGCGTCACAGATCGACGCACTCGCTCACACAAGGACGTGTCTGATTGGTCGAAATGAGAGGACGCCAACATGGCGCGACCAATCACAGCCATTGGTAGAAGTTTCGTATTACTTCGAAACTTTAATACTAATCGTAAGGGAAAGGTTCGTTAAAAACTATCGACGCCATATTGAAATAAAGTTAAGATTACTTTTCTCAACTTTAAACGCGAAAATATAGGAAACAAAGTAGAAAAAACATAAGATACTAACGAAATTTAAGAAATTGTCGATGTAAAAGCAGAATAAATGAAGGAAATATTTTTTTATTTCGTATCTATATCGGCAGAATAGTCGAAAATGGAAAAGTCAAGTATTACGATTTATAACAGTAAATTATGAGAAATATGTATTGAAAACATGAAAAAATGCAGTAATGTTAAAGAAATTATTGATATAAAGGGAAAATAATTCAGATTATGTTCTTCCAACTTCATTGTCAATTCACGGCAAGAGCAAAAATTTTACCTCACGTATTTTTGAAGATAATGTCGAATTAATGTCAAAAAACAAGGAGCTAGACTTCTTTTCGGCTATTCTTTCTCTTTTTTGTATTTTCAACACCCGAAAGACAATTTAATTTAATGTTTGAAGATAATTTAATCTTACCTGTTGCAGACACGTGCATAACGGACGAAGTTTCGAAGAGAAATGATACACTGCGTCACAGATCGACGCACTCGCTCACACAAGGACGTGTCTGATTGGTCGAAATGAGAGGACGCCAACATGGCGCGACCAATCACAGCCATCGGTAGAAGTTTCGTATTACTTCGAAACTTTAATACTAATCGTAAGGGAAAGGTTCGTTAAAAACTATCGACGCCATATTGAACTAAAGTTAAGATTACTTTTCTCAACTTTAAACGCGAAAATATAGGAAACAAAGTAGAAAAAACATAAGATACTAACGAAATTTAAGAAATTGTCGATGTAAAAGCAGAATAAATGAAGGAAATATTTTTTTATTTCGTATCTATATCGGCAGAATAGTCGAAAATGGAAAAGTCAAGTATCACGATTTATAACAGTAAATTATGAGAAATATGTATTGAAAACATGAAAAAATGCAATAATGTTAAAGAAATTATTGATATAAAGGAAAAATAATTCAGATTATGTTCTTCCAACTTCATTGTCAATTCACGGCAAGAGCAAAAATTTTACCTCACGTATTTTTGAAGATAATGTCGAATTAATGTCAAAAAACAAGGAGCTAGACTTCTTTTCGGCTATTCTTTCTCTTTTTTGTATTTTCAACACCCGAAAGACAATTTAATTTAATGTTTGAAGATAATTTAATCTTACCTGTTGCAGACACGTGCATAACGGACGAAGTTTCGAAGAGAAATGATACACTGCGTCACAGATCGACGCACTCGCTCACACAAGGACGTGTCTGATTGGTCGAAATGACAGGACGCCAACATGGCGCGACCAATCGCAGCCGTTGGTAGAAGTTTCGAAACTGTAATGCTAATCGTAATGGAAACGTTCATACAATATATATCAGCGAAGAAATCGAATAATCCACTTTTTTCAGCAACACCCATTTTGTATTATATTTTATATTATTGTAATTATGTAATAAATAAAGGGAAATATTACTTTAATAACACTTTCCTATGGTGTGATTTTGATAAGAAATATTTAAGAACATATTATTTCAGATATAAATTTTGACACTTATGTGCAATGTATGCACAAAAATTATATAGAAAAATTATAATCAATCAAAAAAGCATAGAATTCTCACCAGCTAGTGAAAACATTGTGGGAAATACTGATGGAAGATAAAGAAAAATTCAATCCCCATAATAGTGGGTGGGGATTTTAGCTCGCAAATCGATAACCACAATCAAGTATAGAAGAATTAGTAACAAAAAAAATAAATGTAACACACAGCAGGAAAGTATAAGATATTGCACTAAATTGTACAGGAAAATGCTATGACAAACAATAGAATAAATTGGCTTGATAATATTACATAGATATAATCACGGTTCAAGAAAAAGCAGGTATTTGAATAATATTAATGAAAATTTAATTTATCCATTCAGTAACAACTTCAGTAACAGTGACTGAAGTACCAATAAAAACATTCAATAACAATATAATTGCAAAAATGAAAGTAGAAGCAAACAGATCTGTTGATTAGGGATAATAATGCATAAAAAAAAGGGGATAAGGCACAGATCAAGAAAAATAAACCATGGTTTGATTAAAAATGATACAAATCTTATAGGAAGATATAGAACAAATCAAAATTAACAACATTCTGCGTACACAAATAGCAAATGGAAAAAGCTTCTCCTTACAATTAATTAATGAAATATGATATTGTCATACCATGTTTTTCTCTGGCATCAAACTTATATTTAATACTATGTTATTAATACTGTGTTATTAATAGTATTGTATTAAATATAACATAGATTTAGAGGAGGATAGGAAAGCTTGATATACTCTTGTATTATCTGTTTAGTGTATAATTGAAAACTGTGTGTTATTTTAACAAATGCTGTCAATCAATATGAACAAATGAGTGATTATTCTGACTTTTTTTAGCAGTGTAACACAGGATTATTTTAATTATCCCCTGTCTCCTCTATTAATGTAATTTATATAAAATATCTGTGCCTTATCATAAATATTAGAAGGTTACAGCCGTAAATAAACTGACATAAGTATGAACACTGTACTTACCCTTACATTTAAGTAAAGCTTATGTTAAGCAAAACACATAAATAACCATAAAATATAAATACAGAGAAATAATAATGTATCTTTATTCTTCAACCAAATTATTATGTAAAAAACTGTTATACTGGGACCATATTTTTTTCATATTAATAAAATTGCATTCATTGAGGACAATGAAATATTCAAAAATCATTCTATTTTAAATGAGAGACTCTAATTTTGAATAGTGTAATAAAATAATTGATATTTATTCATAAATACTGATACTATTAATCATAATAATAAAAAATGCTGATATACATATGTAATTGTTATGTAAAAACTACATGCATTCTAATTATGTTATGTATTTCAAACTCTAATCAAAATATATTTAATTATAACAAAGAAGTAGAGCTTTTTATTCTTTTACTCACCAAACTAATATGCAGATGTTGAAGGGTAGTTGGATGGAAACACTCTGCTGATGATCTTAGTTGGTTGATATTGAGAGATGATATATTAACATTGGACGCTCAATCTGTAATTATTAATATAAAAACACTGCATTTACATTGGCAGGGATTCATTTATAAGTGTTTTATTTCTTATCCAAATACAATCCTTTAAAATGGAAGAACATATTTTTGCAAACATGTGCTTCAATGATACATCATATGCATCATCAAAAAAACTACTCATACTCAAAAGAAATTCTTTAATAATTTTTTTTTAAATCATTAATATTATTCAAATTTCCATGCCTATTATTTTATTATACGTGTTATTCATTGTATAAAAGTTAATTTTGAATTAAGATCGTCAATAATCAACAAATACGAAAGCTTAAACACTGGTTAGAATAAGTAAGACATTTGAATTTCCCGCTAAAAAGTATTGAAATTATCGACGCCATATTGAAATAAAGTTAAGATTACTTTTCTCAACTTAAAACAGCAAAATACAGAAACTAAAGCAGAAATAACATAAGATATTAATGGTACTTAAGAAATTATCGATATAAAAGCAGAATAAATGGGGAAAATAATATTTTAATGCACATTTATATCGGAACAATAGACAACCACGGAGAGATCAATTATATCAATTTATAACAATTAATTATGGAAAAAATGTAACAAAAACACGAAAAAATGCAATAAGGTTCATAAAATTACTGATATAAAGGGAAAATAATTCAGATTCTGCTGTTCCAATTCCATTTTGAATTCACAGCAAGAGCAACAAATTTCAACTGACGCATTTTTAAAGGAAACCTCGAATTGATGTAAAAAATCAGGAATCTAGACTTCTCTCCAGCTATTCTTTCTATTTTTTGTACTTTCAACACCCGAAATACAAATTAATTTAATATTTGAAGATAATTTTATCTCACCTATTGTAGAAGCGTGCAAAACGGACGAAGCTTCGAAGAGGAATGCTGCACCACGCTACAAGATTGCACACCAACCACACAGCGACGAATCTGATTGGTCGAAATGAGAGGACGCCAACATGGCGCGACCAATCACAGCTGTTGGTAGAAGTTTCGAATTGCTTCGAAACTTTAATACTAATTGTAAGGGAAAAGTTCGTTAAAAACTATCGACGCCATATTGAACTAAAGTCAAGATTACTTTTCTCAGCTTAAAACATCAAAATATATGACAAAAAGTAGAAAAAACATAAGCTATTAACGAGATTTAAGAAATTGTCGATATAAAAGCAGAATAACTGTAATGCTAATCGTAATGGAAACGTTCATACAATAAATATCAGCGAAAAAATCGAATAATGTACTTTTTTAGCAACACCCGTCTTGTATTACCTTTTATATTATTGTAATTATGTAATAAAAGAGAGGAATATTACTTTAATAACACTGTGAACTGCACTGATTCTGCTAAGAAATATTTGATAAAGTATTATTACAGTGGTGTCAGGGGCCACAAAGTTTGACCACTGCGCCATCTATCCAAACGCGGCGGAAACTCCTCAACAAATTACCGACTTATCGACTGAACTTCCGACAGTCGGTAATGGACCTTTCGGCAGTCGGTAAGTTAACGAATAGTTTGCGCCGCTTTTGTATAGATGGCGCTAGGATCGAATTAGAAAAATTTTAATTGATGGCGGCTTTGTAAAACACAAGTTTATCATACAATTATATTAATAATTTTGACTGATTACTAGAATGAATTGAATCAGAGAGAGTAAAAACTGTGTCTTTTTAGTTGTGAATGCGAGGTGCAACTATTTTACCGACTGTGCTCTTTACAAGCAGGTTTATCTTCACCTGGGGGTGTTTGAGATCCCCAAACTCATGACCCCTTGATAACAAGAACATGTCCAATCTTTTTTGTATCTGTAGTCACTGATTCGAGGTTAATCGATACAGTTAAATCTAGTATCAATCGTATCTTACTTCAGGTTACTAGCTTGTCATTCCTACTCTTTCTATCTTTTACTGCAACGAACCTAACGCCAAATTTCCTTAGCGATTCTATCCGTCTTTGTTTCGCTTATCACGTTTGGAAACAGCACTGCTCTATGCCTTTTAGTGTCAGTGATTTTGACGGAAAAAAGAGACAAAGAGTGTCAGATATCAAACGTGCGTTGAAAAAGCATGGTGGTGTCAACGATGTCACGGTGACGACAGATCTTTGTGATCGAATCTCCAAGAAGGCGCGAAAAAGTCCGAAGAATTCTCTCTTAACATTCAGAAACGTGCTATCGTCAATAGCCGATAAAATATAGATCGCTTCGTTACCGTGAACTATCGTTGGAATTATTGTGAAGTGTCAACTGGTGCCTGCTGAAAAACTTTAAATTCTTCAAAAAGTAGTCCTATATTCTGATGAAACGATGCTCCTCTGGAAGAGGAGTAGTGATAGCTGCAAGCTGGATCGCTTTGCTTCGAACGAAACAAATTAACCTCACAAGAATTATTCACCGTTAAAATGTTCAGTTTCGTTCGATATCATGAGAATGTCCTCAAAAAGGTGGAGATTTTAATAAATTTCGAGTGTTCCTGAATTATCGAACGTCCTTTTCGAGTACACGAAGGAGCTTGCATATCAACGTCAATCATGTTCGGCTGCCCTAGAGAGGCCGTGCGGGTCAAAGTGAAGGTATGATTTTATTACAATTTAATAATGTACCGTAATCCTTTATGTTTTATTAAATAAATATCGATGATTATTCAGTTATAAAAATTACAAATTATTTTTTAGACTGATAATGATTTAGTGCTACGTTATGTAGACAGAACTGCAAACGTTAAAATTAGTCTTATCAACGAAGCAAATAATTATTTTTTTTTCATTATCACATGAATATTATCAGAATACATTTTCTACTTCATTATTTCGCGCATAAAATGTTCTAAATAATATTTTCAAACAATGTTCGATTTAAAATAGTCATATGACATCGTTTTTAGCGCACTCTACGATACCGTTTGAAATTGAAATGATAATTTTTGAATGATAAAATAAATTTCATTTTAATAGTATCCCATGGTTAGAGTAGAAAGTCTCGACGAGAACTTTTACGTGATTTCGCTGCAAGAAAGCAGACATCCTTCAAAAATGCATTGCCGTCGCTAATTGGAATAACCAGCGTTCTGTAAAAATAATTAGAGCGTCGTTGTGCGTTTTGCAAATATTCATTTCTGCAGCATTGCGGTAGAAATATTCGATTCGAAACGGCAGCAATGTATTTTGTATGCATACCCTCTGACGCCCATGTTTAACATGTATCAAGGCACTTCAAACAGATGTTAAGATATCATTTGTCAACACTTGTCAACGTCGTTAACTGATTTAAACTTTTCGCGCTTTCAGCCTGATTTTTCGTTTCATTCTTTTAGGTTTATACTTTAGCTAAAATTGGGGAAATTAATGACCTCATTTTAATATAGAACCGAAAACCACAGAGTCCGCATTATACGTATAGGAGGTTTCCTAATTTGGACCCATCTAATTAATTTTTAATTTATGCTAAAATATTTCAAAATATCTTTTAAATACTTATCATAAGTTCTAAATGGTTATAGTTGGTGGTTCGACGTTGGCATCGGTCCAATCACTTACTCCCTTAAATCATAATGAATTTACTACGAATTAGGGTAAAGTTATAATTAGATCGATGCTTCTGATCAAAATCAGTATAATTAGAACGATGATTATGTAACTAATGTGGTGGTTGAACTACTAAGTGAAACCTAATTCTGGTTTTAGATTCAAGTATCTATATACATGTATACAATTAAACAAAAATTTAATAATCTCATAATAAACCCTTAAATTCCATGAACCGCGCGATTTTTCGATTCAAATTAATAAGTCTCGTAAACGATCCGTTATTGTATTGTCTGTAAAACGTAAAAATTAAAAAATTTATTTGCAAAATATTTACTGAACATTCTTGTTTTGTTTTCTGCAATTGCACAGCGATATCACCTTAATTTATAACTTTTCGTAACAACACTTGTTTCGAAAGTTTCAGTATCCTGTGCTCGGCTAAAAGATTTTCAGATTAAATTTTTATTTCTAAGATTTCTAGAATCGCAATTAATTATACAGAACGCGTACTTACTTTCCCGCAATGATATTCTAATCAGATTGTTGTAATTGATGGACTTACATAAGTGTCCGTAGTTTCTAATATTTATAACTTGATGAAACAAATAAAACTGGCAACAACAGAAGCAGTCTTTTAATTCTATCATACCAAAGAAATATTTAAAGTAAAAATCGAATATCCTCATTTTTTGTGTGTAGAAATGCGAGACCAGGCACCAGCCGGAGTACCGGAAGTTCAGCGTGGATCCACAGATAACATCCATCGAAGTGCTCCAAAGTATACTCATCAAAGCGTTCGATATTAAAGGGTGAGATATTATTGTCGTTAGAATTCGGTAATCGACAAGTGTATTATGTTGAGTGTACTCCAAACATGGAGAACCTCGGACTAACGTTCATCATTTACTTTCAACTCACCACGATTACCGTTTATCTATCAAACTGAACTCGTGATTTTAGATTAAGAAAGAAGAGAACAATTCTCGCAATTTTTCCAGCCATTTTATATTAAGAATATTGATAAAATGTTTACGTAGTTGTTTCCAGCAAGCTTGAAGCTTTAAATTAATATTGAATAAATATTTTTAATTTTGTTCAATTTTAACAGAGAATTTACGGTGTCTTATCGAGCAATCGACGACTATGGATCCGAAACGTACTTATTCCTGCTTTCTGATTGGGATTTGGATGCAGCGTTCATCAGGTAACTCTCAGATAACGCTGTCTCTTTGCAAATGATAAAATACAACATTGGAGGGTTTTAACCGATAACTTGTTATTTTAGCGCATCCGAGCCGTATCTATATCTTCAGGTGAATCTGAAACCTTTTGGAGAGACAGGCGACTGTGAATGTTACTGGGAACAGAATGTACAGGAAGTGTCGACGCGGCAAGAAACCGGGTTTCCATACAAGACGCCCAAGTTACCTGGTCTCATAATGAATAAGGCGAGTATCGTTTACTTTCTTGACTCACTCACAGTCGAACAGTTATATTTCTCTTTTACTGAGAGATGAGCAAGTAATTGCGGTATGTTTAAATAATACAATGAATGTATCTTGAAATATTTATGATATTTGGAACTTCCTTGATTACATATTAATTTAAAATTCAAGAGATAACATAACCATCATTTATATATTATATTTTGTTCTTTAGCTCTTAATTTTAAAGAAAAATTGAATGGATATAAATTAGACTGCTTTTTACAGATGGAGAGAACATTGAACATGGTTCAACGTGCTCTAGGTAACTTGGGTGAAGAATCATCGCATCAGCAAGGTTCCCAACCACCAAGACAACCATTGACTGACGCTGAATTTCGACGGTTTTTGGATCCTATCGGACAAGTGATACATCCTAAAGAACTGAGAGCTGTTATATACTTTGGTGGAATAGAACCTAGTTTAAGAAAAGTAGTTTGGAAGCATATTTTAAATGTATATCCGGAGGGTATGTCTGGTCGTGAGAGGATGGATTATATGAAGAAGAAATCGCAAGAGTATCAAAATCTTCGAGAGCGATGGAAAACTCTGGTACAGAAGGGTCAAAACGTTGGAGATCTCGCGTATGTCACCAGTATGGTGAGAAAGGATGTTTTGAGGACGGATAGGCATCACAAATTTTATGGTGGTTCCGATGATAATCAGAATACGGCCAGTCTTTTCAATATTTTAACTACCTATGCTTTGAATCATCCAAGTGTTAGCTATTGTCAAGGTATGAGCGATCTGGCATCACCTCTTCTAGTTACTATGCGGGACGAAGCACAAGCTTACATATGCTTGTGTGCCCTTATGAGAAGATTGAAAGATAATTTCATGCTCGATGGAATTGCGATGACTACAAAATTTGCTCATCTGGCTGAAGGTACGTATAGTACAATACACCATTAAAATAATTAAGAGATCCTAATCTCCAATTATTCAAAAGGATAAATTAAAATTACTACAAAACTCATATTAGTTTCTAATATTTTTTAAGGTTTGCAACATTATGATCCTGATTTCTATGCTTACTTAAAATCTCATCAAGCAGATGATCTGTTATTTTGCTATCGATGGCTTTTATTGGAAATGAAGCGGGAATTTGCTTTGGATGATGCTTTAAGGATGCTTGAAGTTCTATGGGCAGCTTTACCAGCATCACCTCCAAATGGAGAACTTAGTTTAGCCGAAATACCTTTTCCTCCGCCGTCGCCA